TCCTGTTCATTCCTTTTTCCATCCTTCGAATTCAGCTTAGCACTCCTTAATGCGTTCGTTCGTCCTCCGCAGGTGATCGAACGCGCCTGCAAGTTGTCGTGGCTCGGCCCCTGGGGCTCCAAGGCTCGAATGCGGCGCGCGCGGCGCGCGCGACCGGGCAACCGGTGAAAAGGGCTGAAGGTGGCGCCTCAGTGAGCTTTGGGGAGTGGGAGTTCGGCGCTTGGATTGGTTCGAGGTGGCGAGGTGGAGCATGTGGGAAGATGAACCTCCAGCGAAGAACCTGGAAGCAGCTTCCAAAGCTTGGCAAGAACAGAAGTGAAAAATCCACAAAGTTTTTTCAACACCTTAGGGCCTCAAACCATATCCTCAGATTCGGTGGTTGGGGTGGGTGCCAGGGGGGTCTAACCACCGAACCTGAGGATATGGTGGAGGGCCTAGGGTAAATTGCATCCTTTCGTTGTGGCGGCTTACTTGGGTGTGCCATGACGCGCTCCACCAGAGAATGAGCCATTCATGAGAGAAGCAACACCTCGCCTTTCACCAACCCATTCAATCATGCTTATGATATAACTCTCTGTGAAAATAACATGTTCGTGGAGAATCACCCGTTTGGTGATGGGCATTTGCAAGCTTCAACCCCAAATAGGATCGATCAAATGGATGTTTAATCCGGCATCGAGTGTGACCCGCTGCCGTGACCCGCCAAGGAGAAAGCAAAGGCCACAGCTGCTCGGACAGATGAGATACGGAGAGCCACGCGGGCGATCGCGAGGGCGTGGGCTGTGGGTTTGGGGGCCCCACCACAGGGGCTGAGACGTTGACCTCTGGATTCTGTGGAGCATGGTGAGCAGCATGGTATGTCTTCCGCTTGTTGCGCCATGCAAGTTCTTCGCGAAGCGGAGACCGGAATCCGGTGAAACCATCATGTCCGTTGGGACAATGTTGGGACGTGTCGCCCACATCAGCATGCGTGAAGGACTGCCAGGATTGACGAATCTGGAATTCTATGATAATATAATATAATATATATTCAAATTGGTTTACGAAGACCATTTTAAAGCCAGCCGGATTGCAAAAACGCATGAAAAACCACGTCAGAGTCAACCCTCTTCAATCCAATGGAGGGATTTGAAGTATTGACATGCGACCACGACGACCTGCGCGGAAAGCAGAGGTGTTGGCTGCGCTTTGGCCATTGAGTTCCGCTCGAGCTCGAGGCCTGGAAGCAGCGAAAGAGGTCCACAAGAGACACAGCTTTGGTCGTTGGGGGGTCATGGAAGGGATGTTTTTTTCAGGATGATTTTGGTTTGATGTGTTGTATTCCAGGAGTCACAGAGCTCGGGGTGTTTTTTTTTCCCATCCAGTGAGTGGATGTGACGTTCGGGCACCCCGACTTCCTCCGTTCGTTCGGCACCCCTTACCTTGTGACTGCTGGTTGTTTTGTTGCTCTTGAAGACATAACAAAAGTATGGCCACTGCAGGGAGGCGGACGTCCGGACGTCCGCTTTGGTGGACTTCGATCTCGGACAGGTCGGGGCTTCGATTCCTGACTAAACACCCCACGTCGTGTGAGGCAAAGGTGACAGCTAAATAGTTGATCGTGCCGCTGTTGCATGTTGCACTTGGTTTGCAGCTGCTCCAACCGTGGCGGAGAAGTGTTTGAGTCTGAGTGAGCTGAGTTGGCAGCCGAGCACATGGGGCCTGCTGCAAACCCTTTCTCGCTTCAAGATGAATATAGCACCGGATCTTCAAACGGCCTACATTGTACTAGTATGCCTACCTGTTGACCGGACGACATTTTTCAGTGACGCTTGTGTCAGCGGGGTGGCGTGTTTAGACCACAGACCATGCTCATGTATGCTCCATTTCTGCATGGTTTCTTGGACTGGCTCTCCATGTCGGGTTTCAGGTTGCCATCACGCCTGCCATCCATTTGGGGGTGGACTTTGCCCCTCTCCATGAACAGGACGTTTTAGGAAAGCCTCCTAAACCAACACAGCCGGCAGCTGTGTTGGTTTGAGGGACTGCTTCACAATCATTAGAATGTATATATTGGAATCATTGATGTCCAAACTTGCTTGGTAGGGTCTAAGATTGTTTGGGCAGTGGCATTTGAGCAAGCAATGGCCAGGAGCACGCAGTACCAATAGAATCATGCCAACTGTTGATGGAAGAGCGAATCGTAGGAGTATATGCTACACATTCTGGAAAATCACAAGCACGATTCTAACTTTTTGAGTCCAAGGGTTGTCCTGTCTGGAGATCCATATGTAGTATAAAGGCTTCCAGCCACATGACCCCAAAAAGGAAGGTGCTGGTGTTAGATCCTTCTACTCTTGGAGGGGCTCCACTCCACGCACCACCCCGCACCACCGCGCATCGGATCCGGTGCTTCAGACCCCGTTCTGCCGTGCTCGGCAGATCCTTTCAGCTGGCTTGTCGACTTCCAGCCGCGCAGCAAGGCGGGTCGGTGCCGGCGGTGCGACCTGACGCAGCAATGTGGGTGTGAGCGACAATCGAATTTGATAGGAACCTAGCTCATGACCATAATATATATATATGGGCCCGTGGGGAGCAGCACGAGCAGGTCACCGGCGTACGGTTCACTAGCTCTAATTTGGTCACAAGCACCCCGGAATAAGATGCGGTGCCGGCTGTGGGTTATATATATATATACACCTAGATCTTCAGTCCGGCACTTTTACAGGGTCCGGCGCCGGACTTCCAACTCCGGCGTTTTTCTGGATTTGGTCCGGCACTTTTTCCAAGTCACTTTATGTGGATTCTCAAGGCTTTGCATTCTTTGTGGTTTGCATTTTTTTGAAGGTAAACCCACTACTGATGCAAAGAAATTTGTTTGCAAAGTGTGCTCGTTTTCCTGCTCCGCTGTGTTCTCATTCTTTCAGCATGGTTCACACTGGATCAATCAGATCCGTTTAGGTGATCTTCTAAATGAAACCGGATGAAGCCGGTACAGTGCGATGCACGTGTTGAAAGACCCAAGTGGGCGTACCTAAGCTGAAAGAACATAGGCAAAAACGTACTCCCACTGTTTCAGGATGTCGGGCAGCTGGGATATAGTTCCAGCTGCGCAGGTTTGCAGAGCCTGCCTGTGGAACATGTGTTGTTCAGAATCTCAATGTTTTGCAGAGAGTTGCCAAAAAATGGCGCGTCGTAACTCCGGCGTAATTTCCCATAACTCCGGCGTAATTTTTTGGATTGAGTCTTCTGCAGGTTTTGAATTTTTTGTCAAAGAAGAGTTTTGACAGGAACCATGAGTTCTGCTACTTTATTGGGGTGGGCCGTCCTGAGGCAAGCTTTAAAGAAACACATGGAGAGCAACCCACTTTGCAACAAAAAACTTTAGAGACACGGTTGCAGGGAAAGAGGGGTTCCTTGCCACATACTCCTTGGTTTCTTCTTGGAAGTCTTTGCTTGGGCACAATTGCTTACATTTTGTGATGGTTCTGCTCTTGGGCCATTCGGAAGATGGGCAAGGGCAATGGGAACGGGAAGGCTCCAGTGCAGGGCTGTGGAACGAGTGTGCTCCAGAAAAACTATTCGTGGCGCAAAGGCGGTTTCCTTGTGTATGACCCAGCCTTTTATCATCTCTATTTTTCAGAATCTTGGATCCGGATGTTTTTTCACGTCTCCGGCGTTTTTTTCCGGAATCCGGCGGAAAATTTGGCCGGATTGAGGTCCGGCACTTTTTTCCGCCCAAAGGAGGATCCAGGTATATGACTTATGGCCCCAGCTTGTCCCACCCTTGATGACATACATATATATATATATATTGCATGTCCCAGTATCATGGCATATATTGACTTATGGTCCCAGCCTTGGGTTCAGATTTCCCGTCCCCTTTTTCGGGGACATGATTCAGTCGACTTCCTTTTGAAGGTGCTCTGAGGCCAGGCCGCCTTCTTCAGTCCGCCGCACCGAAGGACCGTATCAACACCTCATGTGTGTTTTTGTTCTTCTCTCCGGTTTGGCTATGGCCTAGCAGTAGCAGTTGCTGTCATAGTATAGTAGTAAAAGTCGTCGTAGTAGTAGTAGTAGTAGTAGTAGTAGTTGTTGTTGTTGTTGTTGCTGTTGCTGTCGTCATCATTGCAGTGGTAATTGCAATTGCCATTGTAGTAATGGTCGTGGTGGTGGTATGTAGGAGTAGTAGAAGTCCAAGTTTTTGCAGCAGCAGCAGCAGCAGTGGTTTTGGTTTGTTTCATTCAAGGCCTCTAAGGTCTCCAGACACAGAAGTAGAACAAGGTTGGACATGATTTGCATGGAAAAAGGCTTACCCCAATGACCCAAGCGTTTGGATCAGCTTTCGAAGCCAGGCTTTGGGTGGATCAACTTCTCTCCAGGCCAGCTCGGGGGTGTGCCAAGCAGACTTCGTGGCCACTAGGTCGAAAGCATCTTCAGGTGACGAGGGCCAAGGCTTTGAAGAGGCGACATTCACCTTGCACCCCCTCAGGCTTGGCCTCCGAACCGTGACAATCCAACTTGGCCCCAGATGGGATGTGTCCATCATGTGGCATTTGATAACTTTCATTTGGTGAAGTCTATTCTGCAGATGAAATTCTCTCAAGTCTACCCTGTGCAGCTTCCCATGCCTGTGGTGTTAAGAACAGTTAATTCTCAATTAAAGCCCAGTTCGCCAGCCAAGACGGCCACAAAACGCGGTGTTTACATGCCAAACCACGGTGTCTCCAGGGAAGACGGAGCCACCCAAGTTCGCCGCCTCTCTACAGGAGCCTCCGGTCGTGCCGATCGTCGCGTGGAAAACGACGCGCGGCAGACCTTCCCAGAAGGAGCCACCACGTGGAGCTCGAGCACAGTGTGCCGTTGCATGCTGAAAATGGTGTGGAAACTGCGCACGTTATGGTGGTGTTCTCAAAAGCTATTTTTGCTACATTTGTGCATTCGGGTGGCAGCCTTTATTGTTGGCTCCAGTCTTACCTGGAGTCGCTTTTCCGTGCGGTGGCCGGTGACCTCTGGCGAGCATGTCGGAGAGTTTTGAAGCGAGAAGCTTCGTGATCAAATCCGAAAAGGTTACAGACGGTGCAGCCTCGCAGCTTGGAGAAGAAAGAAGGCACCAGGAGGCCCACCGCCACAGGGGTCCGTGAACTTAGAATTTTGTTGGCAGGCTGGTGGAAGGATGGCTGATGTGCTCAACCCACTGGTGCCCGGGGTGAGGGAATGCCAGAAAGCTATGTATAGATCATGATCATTCCATTGAGGAAAGTGGCCCCGCGAAAACAAGCTCTTCAATGCTAGACACCCCGGCAGAGATCCCACTTTGGTCATTTCCAGTAGTTATTTTCCAGTATCCATGTGCCTGAGAAAAGAGCACACTCTCAGTGATTGGACACTGGTCTCCCCGATTCCCCCAACCAGAACGACCTTGGAATCAGATGAATCAGCCGAAGCTCTTTGAGAACTGTCATGTAAATCATCCAAACTCCACCCGTTCACTCCTTTGAACTCTCAAATGTCTTCTAAGGAAGAAAGATCTTCACGAGCCTCACGAGTCTCGCCACTTCACCCTGGAAGAGCGTTTGGGCAGTGGCGCTTCCAGCTACGTCTATGCCGTCTGTGCAGGTGGACGGAGCTGGGCTGCGAAGTTCTTCCGCCAGGAGCAAGGCCAGCAGGGGGCAGGCTAGGAGCAGCGGGGGGAAGTACCCAAGGACATGATGTCAGATTCTATGGTGAGTTGCTAACAACTCCCATATAAGGTGATGGCAAAGGCCTTAGATCACTTTAAAGTAGCCGTGTTGACCCACTCATTCCGGTTTCAGTCTCCTTTCTATTGGAGAGATGGGCATGGGTAGACCGCTAGGCCGCTAGGCATCCATGCCCCAGAAGCGGCAACTGTCCGTTTCGCTTCGAATTCGCCGCGCAGGTCAGACACCCGAAGCTTTGCAACGAGAAGCACAGATCCTCGCTGATTTGCCCAGAAGCCCGTGAGCCCGGCACGTGTTTACGTCGTTCTGCGCTCGGTGGGGACGGCTGCGAGGGAGTTGGGAGGCTCTGCTGGCCAGGTATTTGGTGGACTTTGAGGGCTATTTCTCCACTGAGCTGGAAACTTCTGCCGACTTGCGAGAGGAACTCAAGAACGAGAAAGAGAAGCATGGCAAAGAGCCGCACCTGGTCATGAGTTTGTGGAGAATGCTGTTTTGATATGTTTTGATCTTTTTGCCAATCCAAAGTCCTTGAAAAAGCACTGTTCTGAAGCGTAAAGGTGTTGAAGGGATTGAAGGCGCTACATGTCGGATCCAGATTCTAAATTCCAGCTGAATTGTTCAGATGAAGGCTCCAGATGATGTTCGTTCGATGCCGGACGCAGCGTAGTCCTCATCCTTTCTTGGCCCAGGTTGGAGGGGGACGTGAAGGAAGAAGCGAAGGAGGCCTTTTATTTCTTGCTCATGGAAAGGTGGGGTCGTCACGACCATTGCGACGCTGCGACGCGTAGCCGGCGAGCCGAGCTTTTGACGGAAGCCGCTTGGTGTTCGTGTGTCGTAGCCAGTTTGCTTTGGGAGGTCAGGTGATGTCAGGTGGAACCTGTCCAAGCTACAAAGACAGAGAGTCTCAGCAGAGGAGGTTTGAAGCTAGATAGCAATTTAAAGCTACCCTCTGGAAGTGATTGGGGTGGTGCAGTCCGGGGAGCTTTGAAGCTATGCACATCGGTGCTTGCCCATCATGGAAGTTCAGTTCATCCCCGGCCATGCACGGCCATGCCATCCATGTAACCATGTAGAACGCGAGTCTCAGAGCAACAGGATGCAACAGGGTTGCCACAGACATCCACAGACACCGGTACACTGGTAGACGGTCGTTATTGGTGTAGTATTGGTCCATATTTGTCATACGCATGTGGTGCACTCCTGGGTGCGTGCAGAAGACCTCATCTAAAATCGGAAGACCTCCCACTTCGATGTTCTCTTTGTCCATGGTCGAGTGGCCCGCACGACCATGCAGTCCCCAGTCCCCTCCGTCCTGCCAGGGATCTCCTCGGTTTCGATGGTACGGACACAGACCCCAAGGTCGGTGGTGAACAAACCCCCATGTTTTCAGGACATCTTGAGGTCGCCATCGAGCCTCTGAAACCACCTGTAATAAACCACCAAACTTGGACATTTGCGCCATCTCAGAACACATCTTGCCGACAGGTGCAACTGCTCCTTGCATAGCTTGATCGAGAACTCCGCTTTCAGCGAGTCAGAGGCAGCTTTCGCCACGGACGCCATCTTGAGGGGCTTGGCGCACTTGCACTCCTTGCGAGTCGTTCATCGTGACCGGGAGGCAAGCTGCGAGGTTACACCAGCACTGCAGGCCTTGTGAGAAACTGAAAGCAGTACCGGGTTGGCGGGTAGGAATGCATCTTTAGGGCCAGACTTGAATCCTTGCGTTTTGGTGGCGGTGGGTAGCATCCAATTTGGTCTCATACTTCATAGACTTTGTGTGTGTGCTTTATGGTGATGTTTGGTGCTTTCGTGGGGGTTGCCGCCGTCGGACGTTGGTTTCTTGATGTTTGAAGCGGTTTCACGAGAGCAACAGAACGATGAGGCTCTTGACGCACCGGGGCTTCCCCGAGTGGGACTGTTGAGTGGGAAGAGTCTTCAGAAAAATGCACCTGGTTCTTCAAAGTGACCGTACTTGATATCCCAGTTTGAGGTCACCAAAGGGCATGTAAAAGGTCACTGGATGGCACTCCAAAAAGGTCACTTTGAAGAAGCTGGCAAACGACTTCTTGACTACCCAGGCCAGGCAGGGTCCGTGTTCTTGCACTTTCGGTTGGGTTCCTCGCTGGAACACGCGGCACCACCCGCGTGGCGAACGACGCTGTGCATGGACACACCCACCTCAGGTGACGTGAAAGACTTGAACATCATGGTTGCAGACATGGGCCATCTGGATGCACGACAAACGGGTCGAAAACACACATGGCCAGACGCCCATTTCCAAGCCGACCGGTGCCTGACGCCCATGGCATCTCCCTTTTTCGGCACGTCGTGGACCGCACTGCACGTCGTGGACTTCTTCCGAGTGCTTTCGATCTCATAAACTAAGACATGTCAGGCTAGAAGACTCCCATTTTCCAGAAGAGAACACTATAGTTGTTAACCGTTTTTATGCCAATCAGTGGTGTCTTTGTTCTTTAAAGGCGCGTTGGAAACAGTGGACCTGGCCCGCGCTCGTCCTCGTCCGGCGTTGCGGTGGATCGGCGACCTGAGGGCAGAAAGTTTGCCTCGGCGACTTCGACTTGGCGACCAAGATCCCTGTGGAAGAGGAGCTCATTGAGCCATGGCACCAAGCTTTACGCGGGTTTGAGCATGCCAAGAGAACTGGTTTATCGCATCTCACATCATCTTATGATGCCGGCGCCGCGCCCCACACCGACTCATCTCTTCCATGTTTGGGCCGACGCCCTCGGTACAAGAAGCACGTCCGGCCTCATCAGGCCCACCCGAGTTCAGTCCGGTCGAGTTCAGGAATGGAAGGGCGGCACCCGAGGCTACATGGCACCCGAAGTGTGTAGCCAACGTGACTTGGAGGGGAGTTTTCCAGGAAAACCGAGCTCGGAAAAGGGGAAAGCCAGGAAACCGCGGTTGGAGGGTCACAGTTATAGATGTTTTGAATTGGTTTGATGCCCTAGGGCTCCAGTCGGACCTCCTCACAAGGTATTTGGACCCTCTAAAAACCCACCAAACACCTTCTCAGGAGGTATTTGGAGCCCTAGGGATGCTCAATGTCCCTTTTGGACCACTTGGATGCATCGCTGTTCTAGGAAGAGACGGGGAATTGTTTCTTGAACGCTGAATGACTTTGTGAACGCCTTCGTTAAGTTTCTTCCCGTTTGATCGATGTACTTGAGGATGTGGAGGTGGAGGTGGAGACATTTTGAATTGGACCCGTCCATCAAGCATCGAGAGTGTTTAGCCCGCAAGGGACACGTGTTCATTCATTCATGATGATGATGATGATGATGATCATGATGATCATGATGATCATGATGATGATGATTCATGATGATGGTGCCACAATGTGCCACATATATCCATACCTTTTACTTTGCTTGAACATATCTTGAACATGATCTGCACTGCCTGCACGTCGATGATCCACACTTCCAAGCCTGGCATGCCACGAAACGTAATGTGAATCAGTTTCCAGGAGCAACTCATGATCCACATGCAAGAATGACACTGCCACGCTCAGAAGCAGATTCAATTTATTCAGCCTCACTGCGGCTCACTAAGAAAAGAAGCCGATGGGCCGTTGCTTCTTGATGTTCATTCAGATTCATTCACCACTACACGACAGAAACCGTCCCAAACCCTGGCATTGCTTAGGGTGATTCTTTTTTTCCCTTTGGGTCTTCACTGGAAGATGTTTCCCCACACCCAAGAGCCACCCGCATCCAATCTCGGTCGGTCTCCTACCTCCCCGGCTCCGAGGCCAAGGCGGTTTTAAAGCTGATCTCTTCAGCGCCGGCGTGGTCTTGCACCTCCTACTGACCAGGACGAACAGGGGAGAGACCGCTACTGTAGCCACCGATGGGTAGTTAGGTAGGCAGGTAGGTGGTGCACACATTCCAAGTTTTACTTGATTAAATGTATATATAATATATATATATACACGTATTACTGACTTTGCTGCTGAAGCATGTTGTTTTCCCAGTTGTGCCAACCTATGCCTTGGAAGATGCCAGACCTAATTCCAGCAAACAGAATCACAAGAGAAAGAACTACCTTAACCCTCCAACGCCTTGGTTTCCACAGGAGCTCCGAAACCGAGCCCCATCCGTGCCCTAGGAGTAATCCCTTCCTTCCCTCCGAGGGCAGCCAGGGCCCTTTGGATTGGCACATTGTCGCTTGGACGATCGAACTGCACCAAACGCAGAGGAGGCGATGCAAGGAGCCGGCCGGGGAGCGGGGCAAACGGCCGGCATGGGGATCTAGAATCTAGTAGGTACTCCCTGAAAGAAGCCTTGAAGTGGGCATCACCGGTTTGGTATTTCATGGTCATCCGAGCCTTCAGGGCCTCATAGGCCATGCGTTTTACGCGACCATGATTGATGACTTGCAAAGGAGCTACGTCTCAGTCTAGCTGCTTAGCCAGGTGTGCCTTCAACGGAACCCCACGGCAGTCCACGGCGGTAGGCCGAATCATGCCATGACCTGGACGTGTTTCCAATATATAGTGCAAGTTCTGCATGGTTTGCGGCGATGTGACTAGCTGGTCATCGGAGAGTTCGGAGGCTGGCTCGGTGCTTAGCCCTCACCGTCTCCCTTCACTCCCGCGGACGAGTCGCTGCTCAGGTGCGACTCTTCCGCAGCGCCGCCCGCCACGCAGCGTGGGACCCGTGGTCGTTCGGCCGGGGCCCTTCGTCCCGGGGCCGATGCGAAGCGGCAGCGTTCCACGGCGTTTTCCCCGGGCGACCTGGTGAAGTGGGGGAGTAGACCATTCCCAACTGTCAGTGGTTTAGATGCACCCTCATCGAAAGGACATCTTGGGGTGCCCTAGTGTCGTGCCATCGGGCGCCCATGTGTTAGTCCATCCGTTTTGGCATTGGCATCCCCCATCGCCACGGCTGAGACTGGGCTCCTGGCGGGTGAAACCGGATGGTCGCAGCCCAAAAAATGGGTCCGTCCGTCGCAGCAGGGCGCCGCCGAGGTGCACCAAACATTGAGGGATCCCAAAAGATCCATATGGACTGGAATTCCTTTACAAAGCCACCTACATAGGTCAATATTCCATGGATCCTCCATGGGGTTTGAGGTGGTTGCTGGCCGTTGGTGGCGGCCACATGTGACAGGTTCACTCATAATTGTTGAGCACCTTTCCAAGTGCGATGGAAACGGCCGGTTCACAAAATAAGATCGCGCCGGGAACGGGGCAAGCCGGGCTGTCGGAACCACAGCCGCCCGGCTGAGGAAAGTAGCTGCAAGCTTATGTACTCCCTGTTGGAGGTGGGATTGCGAAGATGATTGTGAAAAAAACGATTCAAAGCGCACATAAGCGTACACTGTGCGTATTGTGCATGATCCTATGCTCCTACGCCATGCTGGAGAACATAGGGAATAGAACCTTTCCGAGCCACCTTCACCGCATGATCCTTCCATTGTCCGTTGAATGCACGTGGCCCATCACTCCAAGCTTAGCCGCGCGCAAGCAGATCAAGCAGCGCGAAAAAAGACCCACCAGGAGGACCCTAAGCTGCGGCCCACGGCAGAAGAAGCCTTAGACTTTGAATGGGTTGCTGGAGGTGAAGCAGCGCCTTGGCGCGAAAGCGAGCATGCGTTTCCGCCGCGGTTCCGGACGAAGTACCCTTTTCCAAGGTTGTTGGATGTTTGGGTGTTCAATGGCACACATGTCCAAGTTTAGGTGGTTGATACGGACCAATTTACAAGACATGTTGGGGTGCCAGTGCCATTGGCTTTGAACGCTTTTCTTGTTTTCCCCTGTGGCCTCGAGGCAAAGGATGAAAGAACCGGGCATAGTCGATGATGTCGAAGCGGGCGATGGACAACAGGTTCCTGACACATGTTCGAAACATGCCGCTTTTTTTGGTTTGGTGTTTGATCATGACTCGCGTTTATTCACTTGGTGGACGTGCTTGGACGTGGATGTGTTTGGAAGTGCAGGGCTCTTGTCTATGATGTGGGAGTCGTGCTTTCTTGCCCCAGTGGCTTGAAAGAGGCCGGCTCTTCCCATCAATCCTCCTTAAGACTGAAAAAGAGATCCGCACAAGTGGTCGCAAGTGGTGCTGAACCTTCTGGAGGGCTGTCAAAACTAGTCTGAGCTGAGTCCTTTTGAGGAATCATCTCCTTTTTTTCGCGGCGTTCCCTTTGCATCGGGTGGGACTTTGAGAGTGTGAGGTTGCACCAAAATACGAACAAAAAATGGGTGATACTGGTGTGACGTGTTTGCATACACCGAATCTACAATGCAAAGACCGGAATATGTATATAACCTGTGGGTCTGAGGTACTATTCATGACATCCGCTCCCCCTGAATAATGTGCTATGAGGCCATTGGACCATGAAGGTTTTAAGAGGGGATGAGCTGATGAGCATGAGGCCAGAGTCCATATAGGAAGCAATGGGTTCATAGGAACCAAGGCATGAGAGGAATTGGGTGGTAACATTTGGGCTCAGAATGGGTATGAGCTGGTGAGCAGGTGAGGTAGGCTCCCTTAGTTGATGAACCAATGAACTAAGTGAAACAAATATGAGTTGTGTGGGCTCGGATTAACTTGGGGGGATTCTGGTACCCAACTAAGGGATTAGGGAGGCAATAAGCAACCAATACTTCTAATTTGGACCATTTTCGGAGAC